TTCCAGGGTCTCATAACATTGCTACCTTGCTGGTGTCAAAACTGGGGTACTGATTAGGGTGGTCATATGTAGGATCATTTCATTAGTAGGACAACTTCCAGAGGAAATACTGATGCAGGATAATGGTGAAGAAAAGGGTTTAAGAGTGAGATATGCCCAGATTCAGATTCTGGCTCTTCCATTTACCAGCTATGTGTCTTCATTCAGAAGATATTTAAGGAGTATAGAATAGCAAAGAGGGCCACACTGTTGAGTTGGAGTGCCTGATTCAATTTGGTTCAGCCACTTACCACGTGTGTGATCTTGGACAAACAACTTTAATCTCTCTAATCTTAAATCTAATGATCTGTACCTACCTCACAGGGTGATGTACTGAGATTTAAATGAGATAATTGTATGTAAGATTTAGCATACTTCCTACATACAGAAAGCTCATTAAGTCCTAACTATTACTATTAACTGAGGTGTTAGCAGCTCCATGGGAGAAAGGCCTGGTGATCTGCTTCCATAAAGATTACAGCCAAGACAGTCCTATGGAGCAGTTCTACTCTGTATCACGAAGGGTTGCCATGATTCGGGGGCCAACTTTGACAGCTAACAGCAACAACAAGCACTGAAATACCTGGAAAATTACTGAACTCTCAAGCCTGAGTTTACACATATATAAAAATGGAGATTAAAATACCTACTTTCATAGGGTTGTTGTGACAAATAAATGAGATATCAAACATTGATTGGCTAGCATAATTTCTGGTCATTATTATCCAGAAGAATCTTGAGTGCTTGAGGGAGAATTATCTGTACATTTAGTTGCTAATAGCTTTCACATTGTTACTAATACACAATTTCCTTTATTTTAACCATTATTTTCTTTATGGTGTTCATGCTTTTAAAACAACCCAGGGCCATGTTCTCATCCTCCCTTTGTTTTGCCAATATATGTACATATCCACAGGTAGATGACACACTTTCACCATAGTTTAACTTCCTGGCCTCTGATTAAAGAGGTGAGTCCCGGCTCTTTGATATTCATGTCTTCATCGTATTTTCTAGGTAGAAAGTCATCTGACCTTTAATAAAGGTCAACTTTTATAAGTCGTTCATTATTACCCACTATTACTGCCATACTCTTTGATCCTTTCCAACTTGCTTTCAAGCATTTTTAAAAAAAGGACTTCCTAAATTGGATAGCTTCTTAAAACCCCAACTTCCAATTGTTGAAGGTAACCTTTAGAGAGAATTAAGGGAATAGGATCTTTACTAGCTTCATTAGTGCTGAAGTTGAAAAAGGAAAACATCTTTAAGACAAAATAATCTCCTTGAGTGCACAGCCATTTTGATAAGAATAGTGCAAGATAATGCAATCCTACTTTAAATTTAGAAGTTCTAAAGCTCACGCTACACTGAAAAGTCAGCAGAGAATGACATTGCCATGTTTATATTTGAGAAAAAAATCAGGGGCCCAAGTTTTAACCCAAGCAAACTGTTTAATATTCTACAGGCAATTATGGAATGTGGACGTAAAGGTAAAAGTGAAGATCTGGGTATCTCTGCACTTTGAATCTTTCATTCCCCTGACTATGTGGCCATTACCTGTAGAGAACACAGGTAGTCTTGACTTGTCTCTTCTGTTTTTGGTTTAGGTTCCTTACCTGGAAAGGCAAAGGGCAACACCTGGCTCTTAAAAAAATCGATGACACAATAGGTTTGAACATTCCAGTGTGTAGGGAGTAGCCAGTATCTGGCAAACTAAATTAAGCATTCCAACACTACGTATGATGGCCACTGGTATTCTATCCAAATAGTATCTGACCACTAAGATAATAATTTGGTGAGCTCAAGAATTTATATCCAACCAGCCTTTGACTGAGTGCTTATGATATGTAAGGCCTAACAGTGAACACAGAAATGTGCCAAACATGATTTCTTCCCTTTAGGATGAATCTACCTAGTCACAAAAACCACACTGGGATACAAATAATTAGAATAAAGAGTAGAATATGTAAGAGTTTATAGTGGAAGGGCAAACAAAATAATATTGGATCACAGAAGAGGGAGAGAGAATTTTTAGCTACGTGATGAAAGGAGGTGGAATTTGAATTGTGCCTTGGAATGTTAATAAATCTTGTACATGAAGAGTTGTTGTTAGGTGCCTTTGAGTCAGTTCTGACTCATAGTGACCCTATGTACAACAGAATGAAACACTGCCTGGTCTTGAGCCATCCTTACAATCATTGCTATGTTGGAGCCCATTGAAGACTCGTTGAGGGTATTCCTCTTTCTTGCTGACCCTACTTTAGCAAGCATGATGTCCTTCTCCAGGGACTGGTCCCTCCTGATAGCATGTCCAAAGTACATGAGACGAAGTTTTGCCATCCTCTTTGTCACCTCATTGCATAAACACAAGGAATTCTTTGACTACAGGCTTCAATTATCTACTATATAAAAGAACGTACATAGAAGGTATGAATTCACTACATGTTTGTCTACTATAGAGTCGCTCTGAGTCGGAATCAACTTGATGGCAATGAGTTTGGTTTTACTATATACAAAGGCAGTTTCCAAAAGTTAAATTAAAAAGTTTTTTTATATTCAATTTTCCCATTCTCTTGCAGATCATATTTTAATTTGGTTTTGAAGGTATTTTTGGGAGTATTTTAAGGCATTTAATCTACTATCATAAAAATTATTCAGAGAACTGATAGGAGACTTCATCTCTATGAGGAACATTTTTCAGGAAAGGAAATTGTTGTAGCGCTGAACCGCCAAAGAGGCAGCTGAAAAAAATGGGTCATGCATTCATCTCTTCTGGGACACATGCTGCCAAGCAGTTTGCAGCAGTTTGCTGCTCATTTTTGCCCTCTCCTCGTAAACAAGCGCATTAACAAGTTACTTTTAAAAAAACCATACTAATTTCCCCAGTGAATTACACAGGAAAGAAATCAGCGTTCCCTCCAGAGGACTCAAATACTTGTTTGTTCTCAGAACTCAGGTGTGGTACAATAGCTGTGGGCTAAAACCGCAGGCTGAATATTGGCCAGCAGGCGAGAGACAGCTTCCCCTCTGCTCCAGCCCTGATTTCTCATGTTGGTGCGCAACTCAGAGCTTGCCTGATGGAAAAAAAAAGACTCGATTTTCAATTTCAATTTAATTACACAATCTATAGTGCCAGGTGGGAAGGATTTATGGGCAAGATTAACGCATGATGATGCTCCCTTTCATATGCCTTTCTGATACAGAACACTGGATCGATTATCCAAAGTGAGTTTTCAAAAATGTTTCTCAAGAGCCGAATTCTTCTGGTGGCAGAGGGATTTAAAGAGGGTGTGACTTCATTTCTTGACTGCTGTCCAGAATTTAGATAAATTAGAGGTGTAAAATGCCTCTTTGAATTGTATTGTCACGGCATTCTTAACTTGAGAGTGGGAAGCATCTCTCGATTTAAGAGAATGAATAGTAATTCCATTATAGAGTTAGAAATATCAGCTGGCAGACGCTGAACCATACAATTATTTCTTCTGAGAATGACTGTAAAACTGATGTACTTAAGACCCTTCCCTCTTATGTTAAAGTCCAAAGACATACCCTCTCATTCGGGATGGAAACCATTACGATTTTATCCGGCAGCAAATCAATGTTTAATATCATGAGTAAATATTTGGCGTTCTATTTTGGTGCCTACATATTCTACTAGTTTAACCAAATGGAAAAAGAAGGAAAATACAAGAAATGAAGATCTGCCCATAAGCAATGGCCTTAATATATTTTTGATCAACTGCTTTAACTTGTTAATAAAGAAAATAGGTCCCTTTATAAAGAAAAGTATTCTTATGTAGCTTAAATAAATGAATATGGCAGCAATAGTAAAGCAAAACTTTACTGATTATTGCACAACCTTACCAAACCACTTGAGTGCATACAAATAAAATGATAAAGAAACTAAGTTCAAGAGGCAAATAAACTATTTGAAGTGGCCAACTGATTTTACTGTTGCACCATAATGGCATTTTCAAGTATTAAGAGGGCTGCTACTACGAGTGAACATTTATAGTGACATTCAAAAGCAAAATGGCTTCTGAGAAGCATTAAATTTTGCCTACTAGATTTCCAACAGAGTATATTATCCAAGTCAACTGGATTTTAAACTCTTGATGAGTTACAGGTCATGAGTTATAATTTATGCCAAAAGAGAAACAAAACAAAACACGGAGATGTGTGTCTGTGAGTGAAACCTGAGCACATTTTGCCACAGGCCAACGTCTGCATTCCGAGTCTGTTGACACAGGCGACATTTGGAGAAACTGTAGGACAGGCCTATTGAAAGAGCAGGTAGGGGTGATGCCACCCCCGCTTTTGGCGAAACCCTTCATTGGTTTGTATGTATGACTGTTTGTTTCAAGCATCTTAACCATTTAAATAGAGTACCTCCATCTCCCTTAAACATAAAAAGTAAATAAGTGCAAAGGCTGGATAAGAAAATAGTGAAGCAGACAGGAGTCTAGCTAACTGTGAGTAGAAATAAAAGGCCATAATGAAATTTTCCACTGTTAGGGGTTCAGTTCTTACTGTCTGGGAAGGAGTGACTTTCTGCAGGGTGAATTAACACTTGGGAAAATCACACAGCAGCGTCACCTTAGTTAAGGGAAAATTAGATAAAAGTATCTATTTGCAGCTGTGACATATCAATGCAGAGGTTACGATACTATCAGAGGGACGCTTACAAGTTAGAACAGGCGGCTTCCACTTCTCTCCTATTTCCCATCAGTTTTCCATACTTGGGCAGAGTAGGTGGCGGGAAGCAATGGGGTGGAGGCAAGAGACCAAGAAAGTACATGATCATCCACATATGACCAACCGATTTGTTCTTGGAACCAATAACATGTCTTTTGTTCACATCCAATAACTAGCATTGCCTTTTGTTTTATTACATTTACTGGTACTTAAATATTAACATTTGAAGCAAAACTCTATATGACAGTTTATGAAAAGTGAAGAAATACCTGGCTGATGATATGTTCCTGGATTTTTTCTCTAGTCACTGAAAGAGAAAGCAAAAAGAAATTTAACTTTAAAGTATGAAAATGAATAAAATGCAGTCCTGATCCTGCCCCGTTCTCAAACTCCAATAGCTGCCATGGGCTCTCTGAGAAAGGATTTGTATCACAATATTATCCACTGTTGTCAAGTTGATTCTAACTAATAGTGACCCCATAGGGTTTCCAAGGCCGTAAATCTCTATGCAAGCAGACTGCCACGTCTTTCTCCCTCGGAGCCGCATATCACAATATAAACACTTAGAATCACTCCAGTAATTGGAATAAAACAAAAATAAAAACGTAAATAAACCACATTAGATGAAGATAACAGAAAATGGCATGGAAATCCAGGAAGGGTGATATCAGAAGAATGTATTAACCTTTGGCAGAGAAATAGTGAAGAGATGAAAAGGACCGAAGAGAAATTGGAACAACAGCCAGTCACAGGTTTCCAAACCATGCCAACCTGTTCAAGTATAACACTAACACTGAGCTCAGGGAACCTTGAGGAGTGGACAAGGAGACTTGGAGGTGGCCGATGACAGAAGTGCTACTTTAAAAAATTTTTTTCTCACCTGTGAAGATGATAAACATACTATTATACTTTGTTGTGATGGTATTGCTAGAGATTAAGCACAAACCAACAGTTTTATAAACGGTATCCTGGTCGGGACAGGATAAAGTCAGAGTAATACATGAAAAGCAACAGAGGGGTATAAAGGATAAAGACTCTGAAACAATAAACCTCAGTCATTGTGAAATTATGCAGAAAGTGATCAATGTCTTATGTCTTAAATAGAAGGAAATAAAATCCTTAGTGATAATAAATAAATAACCAATGAACCACTAGGAAAGAGAATAAAGAAGAAATGTGGTGGCAACGGAGTTATTATGTAGTTGTAGACACCTCAGCGTGATGCCAACATCTCAGCTTGATGCCGTCAAATAGACTCCAACTCATAGCGACCTCATGTGTGCCAGAGTAGAACTGTGCTCCATAGGGTTTTCAATGGCTGATTTTTTGGAAGTAGATTGCCAAGCCTTTACACTTTATTAAACATATACTTTTTTTGTGTGTGTTTAAAGTAAACTTTTTATTTGGAGATATTTGTAGGTTCATATACATTTGTAAGAAATAATACAGAGAGATCCTATGTGCCCTTTATCCAATTTCTTTCAATGGTGACATCTTGCAAAATTATAGTACAATATCACAATCACAATATTGACACGATACAGTCAAAATACAGAACATTCCATCACCACAAGGACCCCTCATGCTGTCCTTTTATACCTACACCAACCCTCCCAATCCTACCTCCTACTAACCCTTGGTAATCACTAATCTGTTATCTATTTTTATCATTTTGTCATTTCAAAAATGGAACCAGACATTAGATGACCTTTTGGGATTAGCTTTATTCACTCAGCATAATTCTCTGGAGATCCATCCAGGTTGTTTTGGGCATCAGTAGTCAATTCTTTTTATATCTGAGTAGTAGGCCATGGTATGGATATATCACAGTTTGTTTAGCCATTCAACCATTGGAAGGACACCTGGGTTGTTTCCATGTTTTGTCTATTTGAATAAAGTTGCTACAAACATTAATGTACAAGTTTTTGTGTGAACACAAGTCTTTATTTCTCTGGGATAAATGGCCAGAAGTGTTAACTGCTGGGTTGTATAGTAGATACGTGTTTATTTAAGAAACTGCCAAACTTTTTCAACAAAGACATTTAATAAATAAGTGATTGTTACCAGCCAATGAATCAACTAATAACAAGTATATTTTTAAATTTTACTAAGTGTTCAATACTGGGCTAGATCTATGAGGAATACAGTAGAAGTATAAGGAGCATAGAAAAAAATGGTGGGGTAAGAGTGGGCAATTCAATTATGCCATTGCTATAAAATGCCAGGGGCCAATCTTGGAGTTTCTAGATAGCAGGAACCAATTTATTAATTTTTTTTATATCAATGACCAATCAGATACACAATCACATATATTTTAATATTTAGATTCCCTCTGCCAGACTATTTAAAGAAAAAGCAACATGGTTTGTGGGAAAAAAGCTTGGTCTTTTGAATTAGATCATCTATATTTCAATTTTGGCTCTTCAAGGAAGTGATAAATGAGTAAAGTTTGAAGATAAGAAGAAAGTTAATTTAGCCAAGCGGAGTGAGAAGAACATTCAGGCAGAAGGAAAAGCATGTGCAAAAGCCTTGTGGTTGGAGGGAGCATAGTGAATCCAAGGCACTGAAAGGAAGCCAGAGTGGCTGGAGTGGAGAAGGAAGGGGGGCACGTGGTGTGAGATGAGGCTGGACAAGTAGGCAGGAAACATACAACAAGTAAGCCTCTATTTTTAGGAGACATCTGATCATAAGAGTGGTGGGAAATCAGCCTTTAATGGGATTTAGGCAGGGGTGCAGGTAGGGAAGTTGGAATGGCATGGCCAGATTTGCATTTTGAAAGGACCACTTTAACTCTGGTTGCTAAGTGGGGAATGGACTGGAGGGTTTGGCAGAAGTGATGACAGCACTACAAAAGCTTAGTTTTGTTTCCTTTGAGACCAAAGGAAATCTGAAGGAATTCAAGAAGAAAATAAGAGCCAGACTAATTGAATAGTCATAACTTAATGATGTAGCAGCTTATTGGACTCTAGAAAATGGGGTAGATGACGATCTGGCATCTAATTATAGCTCTGCCATTTACTAGATTTTGGGTCAGTTACTTAATGCTCTGGTCTGTTTGTCTATCTATAATAAAGAGTTAATAATATTTACCTCTCTCCATATTTGTGAGGATTAAATTGAAATATGAATTTTGCATACAAAGAATGAGAGAAGGGCACTCCAGGTAGTTGAGACAGGACAAGTAAAGTCTAGAGGCAGGCAAGAATAGAGTGTGTTTAGGTGAACCATGAGAAGTTCTGAGTGGCCTGAGTATAGCTCATGGGAGGAGGGAAAGCTTGACCAGACTGGGGAGGTTGTTGACATGAGGCAAGATTAAGAAGGGCTTTTCAGGCAATGGAAGCCAGCAAAGGTTTTTCAGAAGGGGGATGAGGTGACCAAAACTGTTCTTTAGAAAGATGACTTTGATGGTAGTGTGGAGGATGGGCTGAAAGTGGAGGGGCCAGAGAGAGTGGTGAGCATGTGCTGCATCCTGGCAGGACCAATAAGACAAGGCAGTGAGAGTGGGAATGGAGGCGATGCTTGAGCAGGTGGCATTTCTGAGGTAAGTTCTGGATACTGATTGGATGTGGAAAACACAAGAGCAGGGAGTAAGAACAATCTTGAGGTTTTTAGCTAGGGAAACTCGTAGATAACAATACTACTAAAGCTACAATGGGAGAGAGAATAGACTTTAAGGGGGAAGTATGGCTTGTGCCCATAATTAGAATGAGGGCATGTGGAGGTTATGAAAGCAGACACGGCAAGCCTGACATTCAGACAACTTCAAATTCAAAGGCTCTGATTTGGCTTTTCCTCAAAGGGCAGGGAAGGGAATTTTTGCTATGTACCAGGCCCTGTGCTAAGCATTTCAAATACACTCTATCCTTGGAAGAACCTTGTGAAGTAAATATTATTATTCCTACTTTTTTGATTAGGAAACTAGTGCTTAAGGAATTTAAAGAAATTGTCCAAGTTCATCTGAATGCTCAAAGTTCTAAGGTTAAATGTTGCTTCTTTTGACTTCTTTTGATGTACAGGAACAGATGGTTTTCAGAATAAAAGCAGTCTTATCTGCCTGATATTTGGGTCTTGTCCCTCTAGCTTTTGGTTAGATGACAACTAGAAGGGGGGAAATAAAAACACTTGGCAGGCTCTTGGAGTAGCAGGTTAGGTGGAATAATGAAAAAAAATGGAGCAGAATAAATGGCAGAGAGAAGTTATGGATGGTGTTGTTTCAGCTTATGGTAAAGTTAATGTTGGAACACTGTAGTTCACTCATGGACTTCAGTAATGGAAATTACAGAAACACCCCACCACACCTCTACCAACATTGGAGGAGAACTATTTCTCTAAGATTTATAATTCTAGGGTGTTTGCCTCAGATTCTCTAAGTTCCCTTGTGGTTGAGACTCACTAATCCCTCCCATTGTAAGTAGTTTGATTAATCACCACAAATTGAATAAACCTCCAGGGGAAGTTCTTTCACTGCCTAAACATTGAAAGCAGTGCTTCTTAACCTCTTTCAGGTAAAAGGCCCCTTTGAGAATCAAAGAAGAGCTATGAATCTGTTCCTTAAGAAAACGCCAACACAGAGCAAAATATGACAACTTCAGAAAGTTAACAGACCTTCTGAAGCCATACACAGATTTGCAAGAATCTGAAGTTTAAAGTCTATTTTGGGCGGTAGATTACAGCATGTGGAATATTTTCTCAGATTCCACCTCCTCAGGACAACTTTCTACTCCCTCAGAAATATCGACTCATTAGCTGTCTAGCTGTTTCTCCTAACTTAGTAAACTGAAGGTATTAGTCCAATATCTCATAGTATATTCATTCTAAAACTATAATAGCTTCACTGTGTCAGAACTTTCTAAGTGTTGGGTATGCAAAGATGAATACAATAGGGCATCTGCCCTCAAGATAAGTAGAGTCAAATTCTAACACGTCATGTGAAGGGCTTAAACAGAGGTTTGAACGACAAGCTGTGGGAGCACAGAGGAGGAGCCACCTGTGTGACTAGTCTTGGGGAACAAACAGGTTTCTAGGGTATGTTGCCATTAACCGCTGTTAACACTCCTTTTTAATTTATGCAGAAATATGTCAAGGACCACAATTTCAACTGATTATTAAATTTTTACTTATTAGAATTCAAGAATATATTTTAGGTATAGGCATGTTTGAGCAAGTGGTTAGAGATATGGTGAATACAAGAACCTGTGCTTGGCATGTGGGAACTGGATCCATGAGAAGGTGGAACTTGAATCAGACCTTCAAAAATACATAAAATTTGGAGAGCAGGCTTAGGGTATTCAAATCCTGAATATTCCA